GAAAAACTGTAATACAAGTTCAACATAACAGCAAATATACAACGTTTCGACAAGGATTATTCATACCTGATGATGACAAATCCTTGTATATTTGTTGTTGTGTTAAACTTATATTAAAGTTTTTCTTCATTACACATTCAAGCCGTCTCCAAGCATTATTAATAACGGTTATGTTTTCCCACACGAAGGGCGCTCCCGATTCATGAAGCCACAGGTTCGTTCTCAACCTAGCAATAGCAGTAAGTTAACTACGTATTTCGACGTAGTTAACTGTTTCTATTTCAGACCGCGTTCGTACGTTTATTAAGCTGAAAACTGGCAAGGTATGATTGACAAACATTACTACTCACAGTATAATTAGAATCTTAGTTTATCTGTAGGACCATATAAAAATGCTGATTGGCGTACAACTTCTGATTAAATTGTCTTAACTGCAGGGTTTTTTTTTACATATTCCTCTAAATTTGTACATTGCGGATACAAAATCAGGGGCAAGCAAAAATATCATTGTGATTGTTATTACAAATTTTAGGCCTATTAGTTTCTAATGCTTCACCAGCTTTCTGTATACAGTAACTTTTAAAGTATTATACTGCATACATAAATAGCGTTTCAGAGAATTTTTCTCTCTCTTCGTCCAACCCAACTGACGAATCCTGGTATTAAACGAAAGGCCTCTAAGAGAGACTTGTGTGATACGAAAGATGGTCTGAAATGCTATTTCTTCTCGCCTCTTATTTTGAACCCGCAATTGGTAAATCAAGGGAATTGTGGGAAAAACATCTATAGTTAACATGATTTTTAGGATATTTTTTAGGCCTACTGGTCTCGACTGCCTCGCCATCTCTCGGATTTATATCATAACATTTAAAAATATAAAATGCTGTTATTATTGAGAAACATTGTCACCTGCTGTATGTTAAGAATTTAAATTGATCTGTAACGAACGCAAGTGTTAAATTATATGAAATACTTCTTGTGTTGTGAACGTTTAAGCTGGCAAAATATTATTATAATTAATTATACTTGCCCTAACACATCAGTATTAAGTATTTTATATTTACCAAGAAGGATGTTCGCACACTAATGTATTTGTTGTGGCCCAGACGGCTTGATGAGCTCTGTATCTTGCGAAACGCGTCGTCGGCAAAGAATTGTCGAAACCCTGCACTTCTTTCATGTTAATGAAAGGACCGTATACAGAACGTGGTGTTAAAAATATAATAGGCCTAATACTGCTGTCTTATGACAAGAGTAATTATATAGGAAATACCGTTAATATTCAAAAATATTGTCACCTTCTATATGCTTAAAATTTCACTGAATGCAAGTGTCGAACGACAAGAAATAATCACAATGCCTGTATCTCATTATTTCAATAGTGCTAAACCACAGAACAACATAAATATATGGGGAATCTCTAACATCAATGTTTTAGTGCAGCATTCGTTACACAAGTATATTTTCTTATCTACTAACGGCTGGTCTGGGTAATAATAATACACCACAAAAGTCATGAACTATAAGAATTAGTAACCAATTCCAGAATTATTACCACAATTACCACACGTTGTATCAGCATAATTAACTCATTCTTAAAAATATACGTCATTGTACAGCCATATTTGTCAGGGTTAACTCTAAAATCAGACTTCGTATCGTTAGTACCACAACACCGAATTTAATGCCGCTTTTAACTACATCACAGGCTAGAAAATAAAAGGAAAAAAATAAAACTTCAGTTTTTATCTGTCTACATGCTGAAGTTAAGAGTATAAGTGTAAGTACGATGTGTATGTTCAGAAGAAACTTATATGTATCTAGTTTACATCTTTTCTAACAGCAAGCACACTGACATCATTAGGTCAAACATTAAAGTAAAACTGCTTCCTGAAACATGCTGTTTGTAGCGTGTTTATGTTTATAACAAGGTTAGACGTTGAGTATAGGCTGAAGTACTTGCAACATTATTTATCATTACAGTATTCTTTCGGAGAATAAAGTTTCAATACAAAATCATGATGATAGCAAGCAGGGGCATAACCTTGTTTTCAGAAGTGGCTGCTATATTCCCCCACATGCTATGATTTATCTCAATACGTATTTGGTGTTCGATTCCGGCTGGTTATAGTGCGACTGGTACGTAATTTAGTCTATTCAGAAAATATTATATTGCTGTTCAAATAATGGGGGACTCGTCCTCTGTGTAATTTACGCTTAAATAGCTGTAACATTACATCTGGAGCTCGGAGGTACAGTGGTTAGGCTCTTGACAAGCAATAATATCTAGAGGGCGTTCCCTGTTTTGGTTGCTGACGTAAACTGGCACTGTGACGATATAAAAAAAATAGCCATAAATACTTTCCAGATTGAAACAGTTTTCAGCAAAAACAGACAAATATGGTCAAGTATATTATAATGGAATGAAATAATTATGAAAAATAGATAGACACCCTACATAAAATTCCCCAACTTACCTTTTAATAGTTAGAGATAAACTACTTATTAATGGTTGAATCTATATTTCATTAAATTACAATTTTCATTTGAGTAGAACTTTAGCAATGAAAGCAGTCTTGTTAACTTTATCTGGTTTTTATTTTATGACCAAATAAATATTCTAACAATAATACCTTGATATATTTCAATATATAAATTAAATGGTTTACTTCAAAGTTACAAATATATATAAAAAAAGAGATGTTAAACTATTAATACAAGTTTATCAAACGAAATAGCTATGATATGAAATAATAATACAATAATTGTTTTTATACACATTTCAACACACGAAACTACTTAAGACTTTTAGGTTGTAATCGACTTTATGAAATATCATTATGTAAGTGCAAGGCACCTTATGAGGCCAGGTTTTGCATGACAGCACCAAATGGTGCTCGATTTTTACATAACTGAACCATATTATGTCAAAACTTCCATAATTGCACTACATGCCAGATTTTTATAACTGCACCACATGATGCTAGATGTTTTCATAACTGCACTACAAGATCCCAAGTTTTTTCCTTAACTGCACCACATGATGCTAGATGTTTCCTTAACTGCACCACATGATGCTAGATGTTTTTTAACTGCACCATATTATGTTAGATTTTTTTTATAACTGCACCATATGATACTAAAGTTTAAGGCATTACTAGTTATAGTAACCAAACGTTCATTTAAAAAAGTGAAATTCGTGTTATTCAACTACATATAAAGAGGGTAAAAGGGAGATTAACATTTGCTGATATGGAAACAAAGTAAATTTATGTAGTTCATTAGTTTCAACTAACATACAAAGTTTCTCACTCAGATGTCTCAAACAAAGACTAAGTAAGAAACAGAATCTTACAAGTTAGAGATAATTCAGATGCATACTACTTGAGATAAATTATAATTATATTTCAGTGTTGTGGAACAAAATCCTAAGCTGGTAGATAAAAAGGATATTTATTAGGACTAAAAAAAGAAAGAAACATCATATTTGACTTCAAGTATTTTTTTATCAAATTTCTCTTAATTGGAAAAAGTGTTGTTTTCAAACCAGAAGTAAAGACATCCATCTTTTATCTGCCACAAATGACTGATACGGAGACCTTTTGTTAAATACTGAAACTCATCAGCTGGGCTGGATCATAGCTGCCAGAAGCAGCACAAGAAACTCAATGGTATGATGTGATAAAAACAAGTGCAGTCAAACATAATAACTGAATTTTTAGATACATAATTGATTTAGATGGATATTGAATGAACAATCAAGACATTAGACAGGAAAGAAAACGGAGTATTGGCTCTTTCGAAATTAAAAAAGAACAATCAGAAACACACACAAAAAAAAACAGCTCCAATATAATTTTATCTCAATATTTTTACATTTATTTATTTATTTTTGAACCCTGTACATCAGAAACAGTGGTTTATGTTCTAATAAATATTTATAGAAGCTGGATATCGTACTTTGAAGTTATTCCATAGGTTCATCTTCTGTCACCACCTGTGGGAAAGTTTAAAAGCTAAATAATTTAAAACTTTTAACACAAATTATCTACATTCAAATTAAATTTTTTGTAACTCATTACTGAAACTATCCAACGTTTTTACTGTACGTCAATTGTTACACATTGGCTAATGCTTTCTAAACTATGTTGAAAACGTTCAAAGAACTGATAGCAATGATAATAATATAAGAAACTTCCTCAGTAATCGAAACAGGTTTGTTGGTGTAGGGTGATACATGACAGTAAATGTTTGGCTTAAAAGTGAACTTTAGAATTATTGATAACTTCTTATAATAAATGTGTATTTTAACCCTAGTTAAAATTGGAATAAATTAAAATACTCATTAATGAACATGATTCGGTCGTTGCAATTAATTTTGTGTAAACTAATCACTACAGGATAGTATGGACATATGAGAACTTTAAAAAAATCATAATATTATATATAATGAAATCAGTTACGAGACTTAAAACTAAAAATCAGGTTTCATTGAATTATTAGTTGGCTATCCTTGATGTTTTCCAACCATTTGGCTATAATTCCATTAATATATTTTCATGGCTAAAGAGAGCTTAATATTAGGCCTAAATTCACACAGTAAGCCAAAAATGAAAATTAACATTTATAAAATTAGTCCTAACTGAAATTACACAAAAAGATAC